TCATAGTCCTTCTCATTGGAATTATCAGGATTGGACCACAACCGGAGCAGTAATGGAATCACCTTGCTATCCTCGATAGACATCTTTCACGACGAATGACAATCTTTGCCGCGACAAAGGCAGGGGTTCAAAAAAAGGTCGGCGGAATTTGGCAAAATCTGGTAGCACCCTACGAACCTGGAAATGTTCTTGAGCAGCAACAACGCACGTCGCTTGTTGTGGTTTGGGGATAAACGGGGAACAGCAATGACGTCAAGTTGCTCAATGTTCGTTGCAGACAGAGACGTAGCAGAGGTGTTGGGCATGGCACGGTAACACGAACCCAATTAGGGTTTGAAGTTTTCCTTCCTTTTTTTTACAGCCTGGCTCTGGTGTAGAATCCTTTGAAAGTGTATTGTATTCTTCTCACTCTGAGGTATATATATTCATGTACAATCCTATTGTAATAGGGAAAGAATAATTACAAACAATATCTCCTAAACTAGGAAACCCAAGATTATAGAAATTCCGGAATAAAAGGAAATCCATACAAAGTCAACAGTTACTACTGGTATTGTGCCTTCATTGTCATAGTCAATGCAAATCGTCATTTTTGCTCTGTTGTTCTCTCTTTTTCGCTCTCATAATCTTTCACTATACGTAAAGGCTTATCTCCAAGTAGATGTGTTGGTCCACCTAGCATTAGGCCTTTTCGATTTTTCCAAGTTTCAGAAAACTAAAACTGAGAAGCATGGCAAGGAGGGGTTTCGAATCTTGATTAGTAGGGCCAAGCAATAACGCCCCCTTTCGTCTCCCATTCTCTTAATTAGAAAAGGATGGAATTTGGAGAATGTGTATTATTATAAAGAGTTTGAGGGAATTCATTCAGCTTGCAATATATTTTCGAAAGTTGGAATACATTTAAACTTTACCCCACCTAGCATTATTTCTACAGTTTGTACATCTTTAAGTCCTTCGCCGTTTGTCATTTCAAAGTTTTCGTCTGTCAAGATTTTAAATTGATGAGAGCAGCATACTTATTTGTGATTTTTTTTTCCCTTCAGGATGGTTGCAGGCAGCCGACCCCACTTAATGGAAAAAGATTTTGTTATTGTTGTTGTTGTTCTTCAGGATGGTTGCAGGATTGCTCGATATTTTGTATGTGTATGGCACTGTTGCAACCATTGTTTGGTTGCGCATACTTGGTAAATACGCACCCCGTGATTCGCCAAGGGTATGCATTAATCTTCTACTAAAAAGTATGCATATTTCCAAGTGCAGACATGATGACTTTTTATTTTGTAGCCTATGTTTTCTAATCGAACTTCTGAAGTTGTTATTCTGAAAGATGCAGAAAAATTCTGAAACTGAGATTATGGCCAAGAAATTGTTTCGAGTACTACGAAATCTGAAATACTTATCTGATCATAGTACAGAAAATACTCATATCTCTTACATCCCGGCAATCATCTCTCTCATACACACTTAGCTCTGAACATTGGCAGTACATTGATGATACATATGCATGCGTTACGCTAGAACAGTTTATGGTGTTATACTTCCAATTCTTGAAAAAACATGAAGTTGAACCGCCACGAAAGTATAGTTTGTCCATTAATTACCCAAAACTTACACAAGCTCAATATTTGTTTACACTATCAGGCAGATGTTGTTTAATTTCCTTTATATTAAATAGCTTACCGAAGGCAGTTGCATACCTGCAAATTTAAAAATAAAACATAAATTTGTTAGATAATCGATATATATAGTTTTTGTTTTTTCGCATTCTTGAATAATTTGTCCAAAGAGAAAAAGAAATTAACCACTTACAGAATAATGCACGCCACCAAACCAAGGACCCCCAGAAAATATTGACAGAAATTGTGCCTTGCTGTACGTTTGACTTGATGGTAGGTTGGCATGTACTTGCTGCTTACATATCCAAACTGAGGCTTAACAAAAAACACAAAACCAAGGAAAAATCCGGCGACGAGTCCTCCTACATGAGCTGAATGGTCCATATGAAGTAGAAATCCAATGGCCAAGTTCAGGGCAGCATTGAGGATGATTATCATGATCGACGAGCACTGAATTTTTGTAAGAACCTTGATTTAGCTGTTATGAAAAATTGAAAACGAGGGAATGGAACGAGAAAATACACATTACCTTATCGTCATACACTGTCCAGTTTGTGATCAGCTCAGAAAGTGAGGCTCCCAACAATCCAAAAATTGCCCCAGATGCGCCAACTGATATAGTCTTGCTTGACTTTCCGTGTTTAATAATACTAAGGCAAGACCCTAAACTTCCCCCTAACCCAGAAAGCACATACACGAATCCAAATCTGTCTGCAAATCCGGTGTTAAACAACAGTTATTAGATACCATTGGTCATGAAAAATACTTGGTACTTAGAATGAAATCTTAATCCAAGGCTCTTACGAAATCCAAAATCCTGCTCAAGCCGGAGCCCAACGAAATCAAGGCTGATCATGTTGGCGAATAGATGAATCAGCCCGCCATGTAGCCACATTGCAGAAAAAAGGCGCCATGCTTCACCATTCACCACTAGTTTTGTATCAAGGCCTCCTAGTCTTTGGAGGCTGCAAATAGTAGCAATTAGATTAGGTTTTAGATGTAGGCAATTGTTCTCTGCACTTCCTCTCTAGATTATGGTCCTTTATTCCCTTATAATTTGTTCAATCCAATGTCTAAAAAAGGTGTGCATAAATAATTTCCCTTCGATATATTCAACGTAGCCAGTAATTGGAGAAAGCTTTAACCCGAATAACTTTACCATTCTTTGCCACCCTAGAAAGTTATGATGAAGTTGATTTTATGGAGCAACCGCTAAACAGAAAACCAAAAATTCAATTTGAAATGTCGAAATTTTGTTTTTGTTTCAAATTCTTAAAGATTGTAGAGAGAAATTACAAGTAAACACAGAACACAACAGATTAAACCGACCTCAGCCGAGATTGATCGAAATTCCACCTATAACTGCCATCAAATCTTTATTTACGATAATTACAAAGGTAAAATCAACCCTACATTATGCTGTGGTTCTCCTTCCATGCCACTTTCAGTTGTAAAAACTTCAATTTTAGGTCATTAAAATTTAATTCATATTCGTAATCGAAATTCTTGGGTTAATTGGTTCATTGCCAAACTCTAACTCTTCCTCCCCTTTCCAAAAAGAAAACGAGAAAAAGAAAGAAACAAGGAAATATAAAATTAATAGTAAAACTGGATTAGAAATCTCAATTGTGAAAAGCATTGATCAAACAATCTTTGCAATCCCAGTAATTATTGATAAATAATAAGTAAAACAAAAATATATATGACCGAGCTTACGTTTCAGGGGTAGGACCGATCATGCGGTTATCGTGCCAGGGTTGGAAGGAGAACCTATCCAAGTAATGCCCTCCCATACACTGATCCTTTGACATTTTAGATGGGCAGTTGTTCTCATACATTGTCCATATGAACACCCCGAGATTCACAATGAATATAAGCGGCACCAACCACGGAGAGTACCGCCTTGGTGGTGCCATCATTGGTGGCGGCGCGTAAAAGGCTGGTGGAGGTGGAGCATATGGAGGAGGTGGAGGATAGTATGGCGGTGGCGCATACATTTTCGTTTTTTCTTTTTCTTTTTCTTTTTCTTTTTTTTCTTTTTTTTTTTTTCGGTTTTCAAAGATGTGTTATCAAATTCGGTATATGTGTTCTGTCGTGCTGGGGCGGAAGAGGTACACTGCACCGGCAGCGTTGGCGTGGGTGGCAGATGCAAAATGCGCACCACGGTTGTAGGGTTGAGGGAGAAGAGAGAGATATAGCTACGTATTTGGGCGGCAAGGAACGAGTCTTTGTTGCGTAGGTAGTTAATTTAGGCATGCTTTTCGCGATAATAGATGTGTGATTGTGTTGGTAGTTAATCTAGGTATATGTTGGTAGTTAATTTGGTATTTAATGGTCCTTTTCTCATTCATGAGAACACCAAAAGGAAAAAATTAAAATAAAATAAATAAATTGTTATGAATGTACTTCTAGTAGATGTAGTAGATTGTATTTAGGATATTAGAAGATCTTTTCCCTTTAGGATTGTATTACTTAAGGCAAAGAATATTCGTTCGTTTACTATAAATAAAACCATAAGACTAGAGAATAACACATAGAATTTCTCAACCCTATCCTCCATCTCTCTTTCATAACACGTTATCACCATGTTTTTGACGCTGCGCTACATAGAATTTGTTCATCTTCAATCAGGAGAGTATTATTGGCCAAAAACAAAAACAAATCAGGAGACTATTACGCTTCAATTACTCTTGTCTAATTAACTTTTGATTTTATTGAATTCATATTCTTTTATTGATTCAATCTATTTTTTTAATGTTGAAACGAGATACAACATGCCTTGAATATGGAAATCCGAAATCCGAAGGAGGAACTCCTACACATCCATTCACAATATTCATCACTCAATCTAGATTCTTCTAAAACAACGATTTTTACCTTAATATTTTTTTCATCCCTTATTGCATGGACCTTCACTGTCACACCCCAAAACCGGAGATGTGAGCTTAAGAGAAATAAATAGAACCAAGTGGCACAAAAATTAGCTAAAGACTGTCAAGAAAAATTTAAACTCAACAAATATACTAAACCAAACTACATAGGTAACTTAAAGAAATAGAGTTAAAGACTTCTTGCTGTAATACAAACTACATAATCAACCTGTACCGTAAAATTCACCAAATATAGCTCGTCTAACCAAAAAGTATGAAAATTTCTAGATCCAAGGTAGACATATAAAACTAACTTGTGTTAAAATTTCATGGGTTTTTGCGTTCAGGAAGTATAGTAAAATTTAAGTCCAAAACAGGTATGCTGCTGTTTGTTTTTCAAAGGGAAAAAAAAAAAAAAAAAAAAAAAAAACCCTTCACCAACCTGAATCACTTTAAAAGTCTTTGGAAATGAAATCGATTCCATTCTAAGAAAAATGAAAATAAATAGTAGATAATCAGCCACAAGTTCGAATGGTAACCAAATTCATGGTTCTCAAAATGTAACACATCAAACCTAACAAATTTCATGTTTACCAAAAAAAAAAAAAATGTAACACATCAAACCTCATAGATTTTAACTAGTTCATAAAAGAAACTTTGAGGCTTCTTACCAGAAAAACATGTTCAGGTCATTTGATGAAAAATACAAATGAGCAAAAATTATACAAACCAAAAGACATGTGATCAAATGTTGCATGGTTTTCATTGCCTAGGTAAGTAGAGACGCTAACCCATTGTGGCCTACGTCTTCTTAATTTACAACGCAACAAAATGATCATTTACAGACTAAGACTAACTATACAAAATACATTGGCAGCTCACCCAAAAGATATACGTCTAGACTCCTCTTCACTAGTCCACAAAATAGAACTGCAACTCAAAACTCAGCTAGTCAACCTTACACCACCTGTAAATACAATTTAGAAAAACAGGTGAGCATAAAATGCCCAGTAGGGGTTTTTCGATAAGACCTTATTTAAATTCTTGGTGCATGCTGAAAAGTGATTAGAGCAATCCAGAAACATTCACATCCAATACTATGTAATTTAACAATAAACATATTGTAGGAAAACCAAAGTTTCAGAGCACTACTAGCTATAACAACACAGTACACCACACACAGTTCAAAAGCATTTCTTTTGTTCTAAGAACAATGGAGCCATTATCGTTTAAAGAAAAATAGCACAACTAATCACAAACATTTTCTTTGATCCCAAACAAGTGACTAGCAGATTGGAACCATAACATACCTGGCCTATATACATATCACACATTTATCACATTGATAAATCGTTCTCGCAGCCCACACATGGAGCTTTCCCTGGGGAACATTGGGTCATTGTGCCCATAATCTAACAATTTCAAGGGTCATTGTGCCCCGTTCATATATTTCTCAACATTCTTAATTGCACAGTATTATACTACTTTCCATCTACTTTCACAATTAAAAAATCATGTCAACACACTTCAAAATCTCATAATGAGTAGAATAAAGGTATGCACGTCAAAAACGAAATCTTGAATAACCTTTTCAATTACTTTGAACTCACCAAAGTTGTAGAAAGAAAATTAAAATCATTAGAATCCAACCATAGAGAAACATTTGCTTCACTTCAACCATAGAGAAACATTTGCTTTACTTCTTTCACATAATCAAAACAGAAAAACATTTGAAGTAAGGTTAAAATAGAGCTCAAATGCCAACTTTGTCTAGTAAAACAAAAAATCTAAATATTTTTTTATGGTTAAAACCCCTACCTCAACACAATTTGTTGATGTTCAACTCCGACTGTGACTTGCACCGTAGCCACCTTGTCCTTCTCTTCCTTATCTATAAGTAAGAAAAATCATCACACACTGCTTGTACAAAATACCAGACAACATACCCTAATTCAAGGTTAATTGGGGACTTTAATCAAGCACTTGGGTTATCAAACCAAATAACAATGAAATTTCAAATGTAACAAATAGATACCTCTAGTGGACACGAAGGAAAGAATTTGACTTGTCCTAATCGACACAAGCAAATTCAACCGGATATTGAATTCTTCTTCCTTGAGAATCTGGCAGCCAAAAGAACTAAAAAGGTGAAATTACCCTCTCACTCTCGGCTGGAGAAGAGAGCAGCAAAAAAGAGGGTTTCTAGAACATACCCATTCCCTTTTCTCTTTACTTATTAAAGTAACTATCCCTTTTTTGTTTTTTTTTTTAATTTATTATTTTCTTTTCTAACCAAAGGTTGATCTCAATAATAAAAGATCCTTTAATGCGCAAAAGACCAATTGATCCAAACCTAAAACAAGGTAAATTAAATTTACCAACAATGGCCACAAGTAATTCACTCTTAATCAACCACTTAAATTTTCGGATATTACATTCACCAAATACATGACCTGACTTTACGTTTTACGAATTATAGATTCTACATAAATTGTGTATGTTGTTGGAGTCCTATTGGAATAGGAATGTGATTGTGTAAATCTTAGTAGATATGGGAATATATCTTATATTCTTATTAGGAGTAAATTACCTATTAAATGTTGTAATACTAAAGGGTAAGGAATTAACCTTCCCTACTGCTATAAATAAAGGCTCAATGGGGTGGAATAACACACACCCACAATTACACATCTCTCTCTTTCTCTCTACTATTGCCGCATCTTTCTCTCTCTCTCTATCGCCTCCATAATTGTTCAGTAAATTATGCCTACAACACGTTATCAGCATACTCTTGACGCTGTCCTAAAAAGAGTTTATTCTTCAATTAGGGGAATATTACGGTTTAATCATTCTTTTTATTATTAATTTATTATTTTGAATTGATCTACATGCTATTGATTCAATTTAATTTTTCTGTGTTGAACGTGATACAACGCATTAAAGATGCAATTCCGGCTTACAGAGAAGGATCTTCTACAAATTCAAAGGCTTTTATTTGTTTTCTGCCAATTAGGTACGCTTAAAATAAAGTAAGATATTTGAAACAACCATGAAGCATGAAAACATTCCCCATGATGCATGAACCTCCCTATGTTTATATTTTCCTTCCAATATATATATTGTATATGTTCATATATTTGTCAATATATATATATATATATATATATATATTTGTTTCATGCATCGCACTATTAAATTGTTATGTGGAATATGTGAGTCAAAGTATCAAATTAAATTAGAAGCAATTCTAGGATTTCTTAAACCCTACATATGTCGAAAAAATTTGGGAATGGTATGGCACCATCCCTTGCGTCACAAACTGGGTAGTAGCCCTTTGGGCTTTGCTGTACCCATATAGACCTTGACTGCAACTTTGATGCGAGCATATACACATCCCAGGCCTTTGGCCTAGTTGGGTTGTCTCGAGCCCGTAGTCCCCAATCATCAAGGAAGCCTGCAACTTTCCTTTTTGAACCTCGTTCTGCTCTCGGCCCATGCCAGCAAGCTATCATGCTTGTTGGGCTTCTATCCCGCACACACTAAGGCTTATAGCTTGCTCTAGTATCAGCCCATATACATGGGTTTGGTCCTTGCATGACGCCAGCCCACTGTGGCTGGGCTCCCGTGCATTAACAGGCCAGCAAATATATTGGGCTTTGTCCTGTGCCATCCCCGAGGCCCAACCTTGAAACCCAGCTGCGACTAGGGTTTCTCCCTCACCCCGTGACTTAAAGTTCACACCCGAGGCCCTGTTTTGGGCCATGCCTTTTACTCAAGGTACCCAACTCGAGCCCAATTATCTTTTAAGGCAATTTTTTCGACCCACATGCTATTATTTTAGCATTCTAAATAGTATTAACCTGTATGTTAATATTATTTAGCTTCTACAATCGACCCTGTTTGATCCCGATCTATTGAATTAATTAAAAGTGACCTGCAGTCCATTAATCTTATAATGAATCCAAAATTATTGACCTGAATATCACTTTTGGACATTAACGATTCAATAATTTATTTTTATACTTTGAACCGTTGACATACTTTCGTAGTAACGAAGCTCTCACACTTGAGTTCCCGAAGAACCTCAAATCCACTGCACTTAGTTGTATATTGCATTCTGTGTTTCTTGCAGGAACCTCTCTTTTATGAACTAAACGTTCATAAACTAAATTGAACCTGTAGTTTCAAATTTAGTGCCTTTGAAACCTGAAGTTTTTCGTAAAACAATACACCCATGAGAACCCAAATTTTTCATGAAAACCATGTCTTAGAACCCAAATGTTCTAACTTTGATGCTTATGGATGATTTATTCCCATGGCACCAATCACAATCTTGTTCCCTCCAATTCAATAGATTGTCGAACTGTCACAAGTTCGATTTCCCTGATTTGGATGTTTCTATTAGAAACCACTTTATGTGGGTACAAGACGTGAATCTCCACTTGACTATCAAGAAGCTGAGAAACCATTGTAGCCAACAATTGCAAAGAAGAGTTGAATAAACCTCCACCATGATCTTCATTCGAAAACTTATGCCTGAAGCATTACAAATGGAAATACCTCATGAACGAGGATTCCATGGCTCTTTGGCTGGCTTCTATGGACCGTTTAATCATGAAAGACATTGCCTAAAGCACACCATGATTACGTCCATGAATGAGTACAATTCTGAAGTTTATAAATCCAATCGAATTTTGACTAGAGAATACTTTTCTCGTCCTTCATGTTTCTAACTCACCCCTGAAGCAGCAGTGTAGAAAGAGGAAGTTTACCAAATTCTTGGATCTGATTACTACCACAAATGTGAGAGAAAGGTATGGGCCCAGTTCGGCTGGAATCTACCGAATGGCTCAACCCAGTTCGGTCAAAGCCTAACCAAATGGTGATGCACTGCTTTGGCAAAGATACACCGAATGGCATACTCTCTCACAATCCAATTTGGAGTTTGTTTTTACAACATATGGTAGAATCAGAGCCTGCCAAGGTGTGACATCATGCCGAAGCGTGATCTTTGGCACCTAAGACCTAAAACTTCAAGAATAAAGGATAATATTCCCAAACCTTAACCCTGCAGAATCTACTACCGTCTTGATGAAATAGATCATTGGTTATGCACCTGGTCGTGCCCCTACCAATGTTGTTAAGGAGTACCATTCTAGTAGTCAATATGTGAGACTAATTTTGCTTCACCAAACATCGCTGGAGGAGCAAAATTTTGACATGGATGGCCTTGCTGGCCGAATCCACCCAAGTAACTTTTGTTTACTTTGTGAACATTTTTCCATGTTCTTGGATTCCAGTTTGGTGTATTTTTACTTATGGATAATCTTATTGATATTGTCCTCAAATATGAGTTAATTGAATCATGTTTCTTAATACATATGACCAATTCAATTAAACACATGACTAGGTAGGAATGTGGGAAACTTAGTTGTCTGGATGAATGCGTACTATGCACACTAACTTTACACCTACATCACATCTCTAACAACGATTTCAGGTCTATCCAACTTGATTAAGAGCATTGGCACACTCCTTGTTGTATGAATGGTACTGCATCACCATTTAAGGGACCTTAAGTTCTCCCTAATGTTGATTTTTAAGGATATTCGAGATGACAATGATCATAAATGAAACCACTAAAGAAAATAGAGTGAAATATCTTTGCACCACCTCCAAAAATGAGCCTGAAGCTTTGATTTGGGGCCAATAAGTTGTCTTCCAATTGGGAATACACCATATGTGGCCGGCCTGGAGCCTGGTGATTGAGCAGTTTACTTGCTTTGGCACGACCTTTTGGGACACTTAGGTCGAACAATGATGCTACAACACATCTGCTTATCTGACGTAAAGATATTGTGCCTACAAGCACCTTTTTCTAAGCATGCTCGTCAAGGAAACTGATTCTCTATATCATTCCTCGCAAAAAAATGACACGACTCTCTTTTCACAGTGGATTCAAGGAAATATATGTGGACTAATCCAACCAAAATGCGGACCATATAAATACTTATGGTTTTTGTTGATGAATCAACAAACTGGTCACATGTTTGTCCACACACATTACTGCTAAACCTCCTGGCCAATTAGGGGTTCACCACCCTACTTATCCCTTAAGGTTCGGGAGACTAGATAATGCCAGAAAGTTTATATCGACAGTTTTCGATAAAGTATTGCATGTATTTCAGGTTTAAAATTGAACATTGAATTCCTATGTTCACCCCAAATAGCCTCGCCTAACGATCATAAAGCGCAAATTTAAATGATTGCCTGAATTTTGGTAAAAGTACCAAGTTTTCGGTTTATGCCAAGGGCTATGCAATCTTTGTACGCAGTTATGTTGGTCCACCTTGAGGCCCATTGCCACCCAACCTATATGATGTTACAGTTGGTTACTGGGTACAAACCTGACGATATTCGTATTTACGCATTTGGCTATGCATTCCATGTGCCAAGTTACACTGCCGTAACGTACCAACATGGGTCCTCAAAGAAGGATGTATATCTTTTGTCGATTATGATTCTCCTTCACATTAGCTCTCTTAGAACCCTTGCGCATAATCTCTTAATCGCTCATTTGAAGGTTGTCACTTTAATAAGACAGTCTTCTCGTCGTTAAAGGGAGATAAGAACATCAACGTTCCTAGAGAACGGCGTGAATTTGCGTGGATGTTGCCCACTATGTCTCATCTCAATCCCCATACTGCACAAGTGTGATGAATTCTAGTTTTCAAATGTTGCTCCAGATGCATTTCTCTGATCTAGCTAAAGTAACGAGATCATATACCAACTGCAAACATGCCTGCAAGGATAGACGTACTTAACGGACGTCGAGTCAACATCCCTGGAGGATGTGCTGCCTCTGTTGGATGGTTCAGACACCCCTGTTGGATGGTCTGGTATAGCGGCGGATAGCCAATCAATCGATCTTGGCCTGGAGCACGACAGATCATTCAATTCGTAGGATTCACTTCCCTAAAAGAGGAAGACATGGCACAACAATGAATCTAAACTCAATCGTTGTTTCAAATCCTTTCCATCTCATAAGATTAATCCGGATTACTTCCGAGACTTGAAGTTCTTGGTCCAGTATACTAGTTTGGATGAGCTAAATGAAATTGAAATGAGATTATCATCGATGATATTTTCACTTATATGGTAGTTACCGACATAAATGAAAAGCGACGATATCGAACCGT